TGCGCAGAACATCTTCACTCACGTGACTTTGCAGGTACCAGGAAAATATAGCGTGAAGTTGCTCCTCGTGAGATAGGTTGGGAAATTTTTGCTGCACGCAGCCTCCCTGTGCTGTGCTGTCTGGTTTCAGGCAGTGTTGGTGGTGGGCAGGGGAAGAAAGCTGAGACTGGAGCCTTGTCCCCTTCGGTGTATCGGTAGCTTGTTGTGGTTTCAAGGCAACCCGGCAACTAAGCACCACGCAGCCTCTTGGTCTCTCCTCCCCTCTGATGGGATGGGGAAGGAGAATCAGAAGAACAAAAGGTAAAAACCTGGTGGGCTGAGGCAAGGACAAGGGAGGGTTCACTCACCACTTATGGGCACAGGCAAGAAACAGACTCAAATTGGGGAAAACACAGAGACAATTTAATTTTTATTAACAATCAAAACCAGAGCAAGATAATGAGAAAAAGCACTGCATCGTAGAAAGGCACCTCTCCCCCACCCCTCCCTTCTTCCCGGGCCCAAAGGCTTTGTTCCCATTTCTCTGCCTTCTCCCCCCGGCGGCACAGGGGCAGGGAATGGGGGTTGTGGTCAGTCCATGTTGTCTCTGCCGCTCCTTCCTCCTCAGGGGAGGCTCCTCACAGTCTGCCCTGCTCCAGCGTGGGGTCCCTCTCATGGGAGAGTCCTTCTCAAACTACTCCAACGTGAGTCCTTCCCACATGGGGTCACAGTTCTCCACCGACTGCTCCAGTGTGGGTCCCTTCCAGGGAGTCACAGCCTCCTTCGGGCACAGTCACTTCTGCCAGCGTGGGGTCCTCCACGGGCTACAGGGTGGGATCTGCTCCACCGTTAAGTCTCCATGAGCTATCAAATTCCATGGACATTGTCCTCCAGGGCAGGTCCGGCTTGGAGCTGGGGTACAGGGGACATCTCTGTAGCACCTTCCCTGCCACCAAAAACACAAACCCACACCACTTGTTAAAAACGAGCCTCACACACCTTATAGGAAGGGACTGGAGCTTCGTTCAGCGAATGGAGGTTACAGCAGAGCAGTGGAAGAAGAGCTTGGGTGTGCTCTCCCCTTTTTCCTCTTACTTCCCCACAACCAAATGAAATCTCCACTTCTTTTGGGCAATAGCACTCTCCCTTTCTGCACAGACAGTGCTCTTTTCTCCTCTGGGGCAGCTGAGGCAGCTGTCTGCCCAAAATTGGTTTCTTCCTTTTCTACCCCAAAAGCATGAATAAATGCAAGAATTGCTCCTCTTCCCCAAGTGAGTGGGTGAAGTTGAGAAGCTGTGAACAAAACCTGTCTTTTCTGTCCTGTGTGGTATCCTGAAGTGACACGATAGCTGGAATTATGAGAGCAGTGTCTCCATGTGATCAGTCACACGTAGTCATGCACGCACCGTTGCGTTATTGCTAATGGCATCTGCGTACGCAGCGAGGACAAGGCTAGTGCACAGCCCAGCTAAGGAGGGAGGACCATTGCTATTGTACCCACGTGTCTGGAAATTAGGATGTGGCAGAAGCCACGTTGATGGTGTAAACTCTGTTCAGCCCTTCTCCCAGCCTCCTGAAGCATGAGCCCATGATGTGGTAGTGGGGGGCAGCTCTCTTCTCTCCTGAGATGTCACACGGACACTCGATGGGTTTCTCAGTAAGCTGAAACTTTGATGCTGTGTGTGTAAATGGGTGCTTGTTGAGATGGGGGAGATCCCAGAGCAGTTGCAGCTTTTCCCCTCCCTAGGGCAGGCACTGGTAGAGTGAGACACCTACTTAACTGGGGGCATTCATGGATGCTGCAGACATTCCAATGGTGAGGTGGGAGTTCTGGGTCAGCACACACCTCTTCTGCTCGTTCCATGGCTTCACCCTTGTGGTGGGTTAACCTTGGCTAAACACCAGGTGCCCACCAAGCCGCTCTGTCATTCCCCCTCCTCAGCTGGACAGGGGAAGAGGAAAATACAACAAAAGGTTTCCACAGCAGGTTTTTTCCCCCCTTCTTCAATATGTCATCCCAGAGGCGCTGCCACCATCGCTGATTGTCTCGGCCTTGGCCAGAAGCGGGTGTGGCCTGAGCTGCCTGGAAAAAAAACTGTCGGGGGAAGCTTCTTGCAGAAGCTGCTCCTGTAGCCCCGCCGCTACCAAAACCTTGATGTGCAAACCCAATACCACCCTGAATGCCCTTGTCCTGGGCTGCATTCCTCCATCCCTCCGCCCCAAGCTCAGGTCATTTCCAAGGACTCGAGTCCCAAGTTCCCAGTTCTCTTCATTCCTGTCATTCCCTGTCTTGCTTCAACCCCTTCTTCCTACCTGTTTCTCATCCAACTGACCTCTCCACTCCTCTGATGTCTTCTTGACTTTCCTCTTGGGTTTTTCATTGCCTCTTCTCACTTCTTGCATGACACTGTCGCCGTTTCCTTGCCAAGCTCTTTTCTGTTCCCCCACGCACCTGTATGCCTGTGCTGTACACGCTCCTTTTCCCTGGTGCCAGCCTCTCTGGAGAGCAGTCGGTGCTCCCACAGTCCCTGCTTCGCATTACCCCTGGGCTCTGAGAGCCTTGGTGCAGCTGCAGTACTAAGCCTTTGTGGAACACCAGTTGTTTTGTATATTTTTATTTTGCATTTTTATAGTACCTTGGTGATTTGCAAGTTTTCTCAGCTCTTTTATCCAAGCTGCTAGACAGAGGAGGATGTATACTTTTTGAGCCTGTGACAGACCAGCGATGTTGGCTCTTTAACCTATCTGTTACATTTTTTAAAACCATTTTCACCGAGGACAAGTTGAGATTTTCCTCTGTATAAAGCATTGTCATGTCCTAGTGAGAACCCCAGGCATGATCCCGATTTCCTTGAGTACCTGATGGACAAACTGAAGAGCAGGGCTCTGGAACATGGAAAGGTTATTGGAGCATGCACAAAGTTACCCAGTTGGTATTGCAGGCTGTTGAGTCACAGGTGGCTTCCTAGCAAAACCCAGAATTGCTTTGGCAGGCTCAGCACAGCTTGTGATACAGCTAGAGGTGTGCTCCCAGTGCTTGGCTCCTAAAGAACCGCATGTGTGCGTAAGGTTTCCCCCAGTGATTATTCTTTCTTTGCGGGACTAAAGTCTTAACGTAGGCTATACATCTTCTGACAGTGCATCTTTCCTCCTCCACATATTCACTGCACCGTGGGGTCACTTCTGAAACCCAGCTAGCTTTCTCCGTGGGGAATGCATGACAAATATCCTTTGCACTTCCCTATTCAGCTATTTCGTCGCATCCCTGAATTGCCTCTCTGTCAGCGAGCAGTTAGATTGACCTGCCAGGTTTAGCGTGCGCTTTTAGCGAGGGTCCCCAACCACGCCAAGATAGATTCACAGTTAAATGGTGGTCAGTTGCCCAGCAAGCACTGATAAGCTTAAAATCAGAGGAGGAGGAATGTTGCCTGCCTGCAAGCAAGGTGCCAGTTTTATGACCCTCGGAGTTTATCGCCCTTCCTAATTAAAATCCCAAACAATCCCCACCACCGCCTGCATCTGTCAGCCCCCAGTCAGTGTGATGTAAGGTGACTGGGTGTGACTGGGAACATGCACAAGGCAGGTGCTGCAGGCTGTCTGCACCGAGCACAAATGACACTGTGGGTTC